GGGAGAGGTAAGGTGGGGTGGGAGGGGATTGTGCCTGAGCTTGGGAATCAAAGGCTTGGACTGCAGCAGCCTGCCCCCACGAAAGCCACCCTCAGCCCCTTCCCTGATGGATTCTGGTCATCTCACTGGCTTCTGAAGCGTCCTTCAGAAGCTGAGGGGTCAGCTGCTGAACCCTCGCCTGGCACTCTGGGGTGACTCAGATCACTCAATGCTGGCAATGACCTGGACCTCAGGGACCAGAAGGGGACAAACTCCCCTCTGCACAGGATCTATCTGGAACAGACTTTCAGAGGTTTTACTTTTCTTTTTTTTTGAGTTGGAGTCTCACTCTGTTGCCCAAGCTGGAGTGCAGTGGTACACTCACGGCCAACCCAGCATCGACCTGCTGGGATCTGACAAGCCTTCCGCCTCAATCTCCCAAGTAGTTAGAACTACAGGTGCGTGCTATCACTCCCAGCTAATTTTTTTTGGTTTATTGTAGAGATGAGGTCTCACCATGTTGCCCAGCCTGGTCTAGAACCCTCAGGCTCAGGCGACGCTCTGGCCTTGGCCTCCCAAAGTGCTGGGACTACAGGCTTGAGCCACTGAGCCTGGTCCTTTTTTTCTTTTTTTTCTTTTTTGAGCTGGAGTCTCACTCTGTCCCCCCGGCTGGAGGGCAGTGGCATGCTCATGGCCACCACAGCCTCGACCTGCTGGGCTCAGGTTATCCTTCTGCCTCAGCCTTCCAAGTAGCTGGAACTACAGGCACAAGCCACCATACCCAGCTAATTTTTTTCATTTATTGTAGAGATGAGCTCTCCAAGTTGCCCAGGCTGGTCTCAAGCCTATAGGCTCAGGCAATCCTCTCACCTAGGCCTCCCAAAGTGCTGGGATTACAGGCTTGAGCCACCATGCCCAACCTAGGTTTTACTTTTCTAAATGCTCTGAGGTCCTTGAAGTTTTATCTGGGACTCACTGAGACAAATATCAGAGTGTAAGCCCCCAGAGAGATCATCCTGGAGGAACATCCTCAGAGGACAAAGGCATTGAGCAAATTCTCCGCAGAGCTTTCAGGGCCCCTAACAGTCAAGAGCTGCCACTGTACCCACTGCCAGACTCAGGAACTAGGGGTTCGAAGGGTTCACAGTCTGGTTCCTACAGTCTTACTTACTTGTTTGTTTCATCTAACAAATATTTATTAAGAACTTACTGCCGGGCTCGGTGGCTCAGCCTGTAATCCCACGCCTTTGGGAGGCTGAGGTGAGTGGATTGCCTGAGCCCGCGGGTTTGAGACCCGCCTGGGCAGCGAAACCTCATCTCTACAAAAAAAAATCAAAAAAACAGCCGGGCGTGGTAGCGCATGCCTGTAATTCCAGCTACTTGGAAGGCCGAAGCGGAAGGATCGCCGGAGCCCAGCAGGTCGAGGCTGTGGTGGCCGGGAGCAGCCACTGCACTCCAGTCTGGGTGACAGAGTGAGACTCCAACTCAAAAAAAAAAAAAAAAAAAAAAAAGAACTTACTACTTGTCAAGAACTGTTCTAGGTTCTGTAGTAACAAAAACTATAAAGACCCTGCCCTTGACCAGACATAATGGTTCACACCTATAATTCCAGCACTTTGAGAGACCGAGGTGGGAGGATTGTTTGATCCTAGCAGTATGGCACCAGCCTGGCAACATAGTGAGTCCTCATCTCTAGTAAAATAAAAAAATTAGCCAGGCATGGTGGTGTGTGCCTGTAGTTCTGGCTACTTGGGAGGCTGAGGCAGAAGGATCGCCTGAGTCCAGAAGGTCGAGGCTGCAGTGAGCAATGATTATGCCACTGCATTCCAGCCTGGGTGACAGCGTGAGACCCTGACTTAGAAATAAAAAGAACAAGCCGGGCTCAGAGCTCAGCCTGTAATCCCGTGCCTTTGGGAGTCTGAGGTGAATGGGTTGCCTGAGCCCATGGGTTCGAGACCTGCCTGGGCAGCGAGACCTCATCTCTACAGTAAATCAAAAAATCAGCTGGGCGTGGTAGCGCATGCCTGTAATTCCGGTTACTTGGAAGGCTGAGGCGGAAGGATCACCGGAGCCCAGCAGGCGAGGCTGCGGTGGCCGGGAGTGGCCACTGCACTCCAGTCTGGGCGACAGAGTGAGACTCCAACTCAAAAAAAATAAAAAATAAAAAAAAATAAAAAGAACTGTAATCCCAGCGCTTTGGGAGGCTGAGGTGAATGGATTGCTTGAGCCCGTGGGTTCGAGACCCACCTGGGCAACTTGGCGAGACCTCATCTCTACATAAAATCAAAAATGAGCCAGGCGTGGTAGCACTCGCCTGTAGTTTCAGCTACTTGGAAGGCTGAGGCGGAAGGATCACCAGAGCCCAGCAGGTCGAGGCTGCGGTGGC